TGCCTCACCTCGACAATGACGGCGTCCCCAAAGCCAAAGCCGCAGGCGGGTGTGTCGGAGGCAGCCCCAAAGGTGGAGAGTTGAGTCGACTCAAAGATGCAACGTGCCTCACCTCGACAATGACCGCATCCCCAAAGCCAAAGCCGCAGGCAGGTGTGTCAACGGCAGCTCCAAAGGTGGAGAGCAGGCGGTCGTACCGCCCCCCCTCCACAGATGGCCCTCAGCTCCCCTTCCTTGTCAAACGCCTAACCGTGCCCACAGGAGCGGATGGTGAGATGAGGGGTGGGAGGGAGAGCAAGAGGAAGTGGTGAGGGAAGGTAGAGGTTGGATACAGAAAGCGTGGCATCACGAGAACACATGACCGCCAGTGCTCTACGTGAACATATGGCAGTGGCTGATGGACCCTAGAGAGTGGTTGGTTGGAGAGAAGAGATAACGGTGTGGCCTGGAACACACCTCAAAGACGGTGCCAGTGTAGTAAGCGAGGCCGCGCACAACAGAGGCGTCAAACTCCAGCCAGTCGGCAAAGCCGTGTGCCTCCGCGAGGGAGAAGAGCCGCTCCAAGTCCGCCACTGCTGCACTGCCGCCCTCCTGGCCCCCACTCGCTGCCATGTGCTCTGCACAGCACATTATAGCGGCACTCAGGTGATTGCGGTGCATCCGCGGAAGGTATGAAAGCGATGAGTATGAGCAGAGGGGAGAGGGAGAAGGGGAGGAAAATGGGAGAGGGAAGGGGGAAGGGGGGAGGGAGGCCTGGAGTGTGAATGGAAGTGATGAAAGACAACGAGCTTGATACTACTTCCACACGGCACAGGCACAGCTGATCTGTAAGAGCTGGCACTGGCACACTCTCAGAGTCAATCTGTTAATGCACCTCTGAGCTGCTGCAGCGATGAGATGTTCATGGTGGCCAGGATGGCCCGTGCCGCCGCCTCCTCCACCCCCAGCTCTGCCAGCTCCCTCCCCACCGCCCCCTCCCCTATCTTGTCCCTCTGGTCGCAACCACACACACACGCACACGGGAGGAGGGGTGACAGGGTGGTGGAGTGCAGGCAGATGGTGAGGTGCGGCCAGAGTCAAAAGGGGGTGGTGATGGATGGTGAAAGGGAGTCTGCAGCAGCACAGCTAAGAGAGCTACAAATGAGTGTAAGAGAAATATTCTGCATTTACCTTGTCCACCACAACACAGACTGCTGCGAACTTGTCAGCGGGCACACCACTGCCCTCCACCACCTCTTGCAGCACCTGCCCGAGTTGGGAGGACCGAGGAGTGGGAGCGAGCACAGGGCGGGAGTAGTGTGGCACACAAGTGAGCCCTCCGCATCAAAGACAAGCAGACATGTGTAGTGAGTGAAAAATGGTTTGAGTGGGTGACAGGCAGACAGTGTGGTGAAGGAAATAGGTGAAGAGCGGTACCTTGCGGTTGGAGACGCGGATGCCAACGTCCTTGGAGGAAAGCCCCACGCGTGTGAAGAACGCCACCACCGCTGCCAGTAGCTCCGCCTCCGCCTGCTCGTGGGGAGCGGGGGATGGAGAGGGAGGGTGGGAGAGGGAGGCAAACGGCAAGAATGGGTATTCCTGTTGAGGATTCTCAAGAGCCCCACGCGTGTGAAGCACGCCACCACCGCTGCCAGCAGCTCCGCCTCCGCCTGGTTGAGAGGGGAGGGTGAGAGGTGGGGGGTGAGGTAGGCGGTGGGAAGGGAGATGGGAAGAAGTTGATATCTCGTCTGGGAATCCCAAAAGACCCACGCGTGAAACGAACGCCACCTCTACTGCCAGTGTGGAAATTGACATGAGAAGAAAAAAATGGGATTTGAGGTGGGTGGGACTGGAGGTGGGACTGGAGGTGGGACTGGAGGTGGGACTGGAGGTAGGAACTGCGGTGACAATGAAGTGAGTGGGCACCAGACTCATGAGAGTGGTGGCACGATGAGCTACAATGCTCAGTGAAGGTTGCCACATGTCAGTTCTCGGGCGAGGGGTGGCACTAGGGTAGGGTGCAACCAGGTTTTAGGGTTCAGAAATTTGGGGAGGGACTGACCTCCACTCCCGGCACTCCCAGGATGTCCATGTTCCACTGGTAGTGCTCCCTGCGCCTGCCACGTGTCATGCGCTCGTAGCGCCAGCACTGCCCTATCGCAAACCACTTCACCGGCAGCGCCAGCGACTTGCTGCTCCGAGGCACGGTCCGACGCGTGGGCACGTGGATGCGTGGGAGGAAAGGGGAGGAGGGATATGGTGGGGGGCAGGGTAAGGAGTAAGAGAGACCTTGGCAGGGGTGGGGTGGAGTGGAGAGACAAGGAATGGGTGGGGAAGTGGGAAATGAGGCACTAGAGAGAGACCAGACCGCTGCTGGTTCACCAAGCACACAGCATATGACGGCGCCGTACCATACTCTCTTGCCACCTGCACTTTGAACCCTAGAGGCGCCTGGCGATGCTCTATAGAACGTTCTCCCCTGCCTGATGTTGCCCCCTCAGGCGTTCCCCCCTGCCTGACGGTATTCCCTAGGGCGTTCCCCCCTGCCTGACGGTATTCCCTAGGGCGCTCCCCCCTGCCTGATGGTGCGCCATTCCTAGGGTGCCCCCTGTGCCTGGGTGGCGGCATTCCCAAGGGCGCTCACCCTTTCTGCAGCACGAGGCGGGCGAGCGAGGGAGTGAGCTCGGGGCGCAGAGCCACGCGGCGGCCACCCTTGTCCTCGAAGTTGTACAGCTGTGGGCAGTGCGCATTCACACGCAGCATGGCGCCAGTGGGAAGACAACATGGGTTCACATGGGGTTGGGGTCAGAGAGGGGGGGTTGCAGTTACAGGAAGAATGAGTCTATAGAAGGATCAGCCGGGTAACGAACGAGGGAGGGCCTAGGCAGAGTACAGAACATGCGCTGCCTCGCCTCGCCTCTGCTTCCCCAATCCTACCCCGTTTCCTCCCCGCTCCTTCCCCGCTCCTCCTCTCTCCTTCCCCGCTCCTTCCTCTCTCATTCCCGCTCCTCATTCCGCACTCCCTCGTGGGGCTGACCTGCTGGGTGATCTCCTCGCCCGCCTTGCGCACGAAGAGCTCCTCTGATTCCAGCACGGGGTAGTCCACCTCCTCGAACGCGAACAGCTCTGACACCTGCACGCAGAGAGACGGTGTGAGTGGGATTGCTTTTAGACGCTCAGGGATGGCAAATGCGACTCCAGCACGGGGTAGTCCACCTCCTCGAACCCAAACAGCTGTGATACCTGCACTGCAATCAAGCAGGGAGACCGAGATACATGGGATTGCCTTAAGGCGTTCACGGAAGGCTATTACTACTCCAACACAGCTTTTGAAACGTCGGTTTTCAGGAATGCCAGGACCCACTCCTGCCAAGGTAGTGCCCCTCCCCAATGCGTAACACCCGAGCCTAACACTCGAGCCGCCGACCTGTCTGAAGTGTCCGCAGAGCCAGTTGCGCAGTCGCATGTCGTCCGGGGGAAAGTCTCGAGTGCCACGTGGCGGGCTCACGTCGATCAATTCCGTCTTTCCTCCCGCCTTTCCCTGCGCCGGCGGGCCGGCCGAAGACGGTCCGCGCGAAGCGGCTTTCTTCTCCCCCTTCTCAGCCTTTTCCTCCGCAACTGCCGGCGCATTTGGCGCCGAGGCGCGCACGGACAGGCTGGGCGGTGAAGCATGGCCGGGACAGAAAGTCACGGGTGAACCTTGGGATTGCCGATGCAAACTCCCTGGAAGGATCGCGTGAGTGCATGCTCGGCAGATGGCTGTCGAAATGCTGTGTAGGGACGAGAGGTTGTGTGACGGAGAAACTGAGGAATGGAGATGGGAGAGTGAGGACTGGCTATGATTATTGGCTTGGCGAACACAATGGACGATCGACGGCTGACGGCATCGCAGCACGCTCTGTGTGAGAGATGCCGTCGCCATTGCGACGAGCCGCTGCGACGCGATCCTGCGATGCTCCAAAGCGTTTGTACAGTGGGACGGCAGTGGCAGAAGGGTCCCTGCTGCACTACGTCGGGAATGGAGATGCGACGAAAAGCAGAAATGGCTGCGAGGAGCAGGAAGCGGATGGGGAAGGAAGGGAACTTGCTTGGTTTGTGGCTGGGAGGGATGCCACGAGGATCCCTACTCTCTATTCTCCCGAGGCGGGTGGAGGCGACAAGTAAGGATGGTAGTAATAAACTCTATAACGTGGTTTACGGGTGTACATTTCCAATATTTCACCCCTTACGGAACGCGGAAACTGTGCACACACATTGACAGAAATTATAAATTTTAAACACACATTGTGTTTTTTAAATTGTGTATTGTGAAAGCGAAGCTGCTTGTACTGCACATTTGGCATCGTCGAAGCGCGCTAAACGCCCTTCTCCAACTACAAAAACCGTGGGTTGGAGCTCATTTCCCTCCACCCACGTTTCTCTATTTCCAACGGCTCACTCAACTTTCCCACCACCCACCCCAGCATCGACTGCCTACTAAGGCCGTTTGGACACGGTACATTTTAGCTAGTATTCTCTGCATGTACTAGCTTGTGTTAGAACTCGATGGATATGTTGTAATATGCCATTTGCAATGAGAACGATGCCAAATGATAAAAACAAGAAAGCAAGCTTTCTCAATTCATTGATTTTGTTCCACCTTCCAATGCCTTGAATCAAAATTGGTTGAGAATAGCACCCTAACTTGGGGGCACTCCTGTATCTAAACTGGATTTTTGGGTGACAATGCATGGAGCTAGCTAGGGCTGTTCTGGGGATGATAATGACTAGCAGGCAAAGGCAGGTACATGGTATGGTACCATCATTTGACATGCAAGCGACTAACTGGTCCCACAAGCATGCTCATCTCACATTCGCAGACCAGCATACACACATCAAAGGCCACACGGACATGTGAAGCAACCATCAATGCTTCACCTGAAGCTGGCACATTTCGCATGGGCCCACCACGTGTGCAACATAGGAGTTGCAAAGTTTTAAGTCCAATGTGGCATTACACTGTCCACACCAAGAGCAACACATCAGGCCTTCTCTGCAATTTTGCTGAGATGCTCGAGTACTAGGGACGTGCCCTTGGCGAAGGACACCTTCTCATAGGCAAGCCCGTGCTTCTCGCACAGCTCCTTCACTGCCTTGCACGTCTTGCCCAGGTGGTGCCGGGGCATGGTGGGGAACAGGTGGTGCTCCAGCTGCTTGTTCAGCCCGCCTGTAAACCAGTCGTTGAACAGCCCGTCGCTCACATTACGCGTGGTCACAATCTGAAGGGTCGCGGAGAGGGGACAATGGTGGATGAAGTGGGAAGACCAACCATCACACAGTCAAGTTGGCATGCGTTCACTTTATACCAAGCCTGACCACCACACAATCATGGCACTGGCTGTATCTTTCAGGCAAGACTGCTCCCAGTGCTACTTGTTCTTTCACCTCTACCGGCTTCCTCATCACACATCACAGGACAGCACATCACAGGACAGCACATCACAGGACAGCACATCACATGACAGCACATCACAGGACAGCACATCCATGGCAGTGCAACGCAACGCACCTGGGCGGTGTAGAAGTCTTTGCCCTCGTTGTAGATCTCCATGGCGTTGTGGCTCTGCACGAACACAAACGAAAGGAACAGCCCGCCGGAGATCTGCGCCGTCAGCAACCACGTGACGGCCGTCCAGAACGGCAGGCAGCCGAAGCCGAACCCCAGCACCCACGCGTAGTGCAGCACCATGAACAGCCGCTCATAGAAGCGCTCCTTCGCAGGCACCTCGTCCGAGAAGCAGTAAGTCAGGCTCGCGTACGACCTGCATGGCAGGTATTGGGGAACATCACACGAGGATTCTGTTGCCAAGCTAGTCTCCGAGGCCAAGCTCACGTAAAGAGATACCGGCAGCCATGTGACGTGCGGTTCTGCGAGGTAATGCGTGGCAAAGGTCGCGCTTACCATGCGAAACGGGCGACGAAGAGGGTGGGTAAGAAGAGATAGCTCTGGTAGCGCAGCAGCGAGCGCACGGTCTTGCTCTTGACGGTCGCGAGAATGTCCTCGCTCCACGCCAGGTACGGCAGCGTGTCGATATCCGGGTCGATTGGGCGGTACTCCTTGTCGCACTCGTTGGTTATGGCGTGGTGTGTGGCGTGTTTGTTCTTCCACCAATTCATGCTGAAGCCCTGGGCCAGGTTGCCGTGAATGTACCCGCCGATGAACGTGTTAAGGGACCGCGATTGGAACACCTGCACGCGAGTGGAATGATCTACGTCAACCGTGAAAGATTATCGGTAATACAGCGCTGCCGCGTAGGTGCGGAGCGCGCGGCGTGCGTCTCAGTTAGCGGTTTCAGGAGGACTCTCTGCTTCGATAACGAGCGGAGACAACAGCATCAGTGAGACGGCAGACTCGCGTGCGCGTGGCGCTGACCTGGTGGTGAAGGAAGTCGTGCGAGAGCCAGCCGACTTGTTGAAAATAGAGGCCGAGAAGCACGCCGGAGACGAGCACCCAGCGCGGGTCGGAGGTCCCCATGATGATGGCGATGCTGGCGGCGACAATGGCGAACGTGGACAGCACCTTGAACAGGTAGTACGCCGGGCTGCACTTAAAGTACCCCTTCGCCTCGAACGACGACCGCAGATCGCGGAAGTCCTTCAGCAGATCGCCGGTCGGCTCCACCTCGCTGTCCTGTAGCGGACGAAGCGGCAAGAAGTCGGGAGGCCATCATGAGATTAGAGATGTGTCGCATCGTCCCCAAATCGTGGTAGGCCGTGTGGAGAGAAGCTAGAAAGGTACTAGACTATCTCTCTCCGGGCAGATTGCCAGACGCGGGCTGGGGCTTCGAGGCTAGAAAGGTACTACATTTTGCAACAAATGACGGAGCCACTAGCGCTACTAACGTTCACTTTGGCAAACATTGCTGGAAGACTTTGGTTCATCCGATACGTTGGTCATATCTATCGCATCCAAACCCGAGCGTACCTTGAGATCGCCGATGTACAGCGTGGCGAGGAACGCCGAGGTGGACGGCTTGTGGAAGACGGCGAACACGTCCGTGGCGTTGCGACCCGCCAGCAAGTAGATCACGCGCCCGCCTGGATGCTGGTCCGCAAAGTCGCTCACATCGTATACCTGCACGATCCACCGACACAGGGTAAATGAAGTCCAACTCAGACAGTATGTTGGAAGTGTTGGAAATGGACACTGGAATGGCCCAAAGTGGTCTTCCCAAGGGTTACAGGTGTCGTCCTGGGAGGGTATGGGTGTGCTGACCCACCAAGTAAATATGCCCTTTTAGCCCAGTTGGTTAGCGAACTGGACATGGTTGAAAAGTGGGGTAGAGACCCGGGTTCGATTCTTGCTGTTGGCAGATTTCCTGTGCCCTAGTGGTGGGCCCTCCCAGTGAGGGGAGTGTTGGAAATGGACACTGGAATGGCCCAAAGTGGTCTTCCCAAGGGTTACAGGTGTCATCCTGGGAGGGTATGGGTGCGCTGACCCACCAAGTAAATATGCCCTTTTAGCCCAGTTGGTTAGCGAACTGGACAGGAAGGACATCAGGAACAAGACAGAACCGGTTCGAGCAGAACTAAGAAGAAAGAAAGATGCGGATTTCTGTCGGACCTTGTTTTGGACGACGACCCAGGCGTCCCCTGGGCGGTTGTGCTTGGACACCTCGTCCATGGTGAACTGCTTCGCCGCATTGCCGTTGGATCCGGCGACGGATCGCTTCGTGAGCCCGCCTGCATTACTGGCGACGGTGTCGACAGCTGCAACACTAGCCTTGGTGACCTGGCCCTCGCAACCACCACGACCCTGCACAGACACAAGGCAGCACGCCATCACGTCAGCTCAATGGCAGAATGTGCACACATAAAAAGGCTGCGAGGAATGCGACTGTCTGAAGCGCTAAGACACGCACCATGTTGAATCGCTGTTAACAGCGAATAATTATCTCTGCACCTAGTTTCAGTACCACGTGCAGAGCACAGCGAGAAATTGCTTTTCACACAGATGGAGACACGCACAACAGCCTTGCGTTGAAATAAACATGGCATTTGACCCGGACGGGTCGGGTAAAGGCCGGGTCAGGTCAGGTGTAGTGAGTATCTCGACCCGTTTGGATGAGAGTGGAGAGGGGAGTTAGTGAGCAGCCCAAGCAGTGCCAGAGGGGTTATCATGAGTGAGTGTATCCCTCGAACCGCGGAACAACTTTGCGAACAGCTATGGTGGTCGTTTACATAGTAACCCTTTATACGAGCTTCGCCAAATCCACGCTGAGGTTATTGTGCGCTCGACAACACACATGGTCACTATTAGCGAGAGTTTCACCGATCGGGAGCGACACGCAATGAGGGGCGCCACGACCTGGAGGTTGTTCTCGGGGCGTGCGACAGCACGCCTAAAGGCACCCTAAGAAGTGGCACCCTCTGAATTCGCGAATCGCGACCCTGGTGCGGAACACCTCGGCTCACCCTAGTGCAGCGGGTGTGGAGGCTTACCGGGGTGACCGGGTATGGAGGGCTACCAGGGTCACCAGGCTGTGGAGTGGAGACCGAGGTCACCAGGTGTGGAGGCTCACCAGGATCACCGAGGTCAAGGGGCGTGCCGGGGTGTTCAGGTCGAAAAGGAAGCCAAGGTCGCTACAGTAGCAAGAAAATCTATAACGTGGCTCAAGAGTGTACATTTTCGAAATTCCATCCCTTACAAAACGCGGAACCGTGTATTGCATACATATTCACACAATAATTAATTTTCTTCCACCTTCCAATGCCTTGAATCAAATTTTGGTTGACCATGGCACCCTAATTCGGAAGCACTCTTATCTGCACTGAATTCCTGGGTGACAACACATATCTGGGGCTGTTCTGGAGACATGAAGGTAAGCAAGAGGGCAGGTAGATATAGTGCCATCAAGTCATAATCCTTGCATTTGACATGCAAGCAACCATATGATCCTTCAAGCATGCTCAGCTCACATTCCCAGACCGGCATACAGACATCGATGCATGTAGGGACATGAGGCGCAACCATCACTGCTTAGCCTGAAGCTGGCACATATGGAATGGATACAACAGATACCTTTACAGCCGCAAATATCCTTTGGGCCCTTATGCAACACACGGAGACTGACAACAAAATACACAATGCTACGTATACAACAGGACTGACTATTCACAACTAAATGAGAGTGACTTCATTTCACCACGATCCTCAACTGCTGTGGTTACGATTCTCCTTTACACAACCATAGCAATCTTAGGGCTGACGTCAGACGATGGCTGAGCGACAGCCACATTGTCCTCTGCTTCGGCGGGAACCACGGCAACTGTGTTGTCGTTATCAGCGGGAACAACGGCGACCGTGTTGTCGTTATCAGCGGGAACAACGGCGACCGTGTTGTCGTTATCAGCGGGAACAACGGCGACCGTGTTGTCGTTATCTGCGGGAACAACGGCGACCGTGTTGTCGTTATCAGCGGGAACAACGGCGACCGTGTTGTCGTTATCAGCGGGAACAACGGCGACCATGTTGTCCTTATCAGCGGGAACAGCGGCGACCATGTTGTCGTTATCAGCGGGAATCACGGCGACCGTGTTGTCGTTATCAGCGGGAACAACGGCGACCGTGTTGTCGTTGTCAGCGGGAACCACGGCGACCGTGTTGTCGTTGTCAGCGGGAACCACGGCGACCGTGTTGTCGTTATCAGCGGGAACCACGGCGACCGTGTTGTCGTTATCAGCGGGAACCACGGCAACGGTGTTGTCGCTATCAGCGGGAACCACGGTGACAGTATTATCGTTATCCTTGGCAACGATCGTAACGGAGTTATCGCTGTCTGCAGGAAGAGGACGGCTAGCGTGACAGAACGCGGCAGCCGCGAGGAGGGCGAGAAGTACGAAAGCCGCCTTGCTCGCCATGGCGTCTACTTGATGATCTGAAGAAAAAGCCGAGGTACCGTTCTACAATCTGTCTAGATTGCTGATAGCGTCTGTATCGGATGCTTGGGGTGGATAGTGAAGCAAAGACTGGTGGTATGCCGAAGGCAGAGAAGAAATGTGAGGGTGGTGAGGCGAAGGAAGCAAGGCGGCAAGAGGAATTCGCTGGGAGGGACATTTTGACTGCAGCACTGTGGCAGGTGTTCACCTGGCTCCTGATTCGATACCTGCGATTCGTCCCCGCCATCTCCGGTTATACAGATTTCGCGACTAGGCTGGACACAAATAGCACCTGCTGAATTCATTCTACAGTGATGTTCCGCTAACGAGGATTCACAGCAAGAGCTTACCTTAAGATAAATAGCAACCAATAAACACTCAGACAGAGAAGCAACCATTGACAATGCGTCATTGTACTTAAAACAGGCGACTAGGAGAGTCGATGGAGACAACATGATCCTCTCCAGCGCCATCCTCCTCGTAACTATCATTCCCTACCCTTTCATGGGGCGCGGAAGGAATTGGTTGAAGTTCACGCGCTGGGCCTCCCCTTGATTCTCTTCTTGATGGATTCCCTAGGAATGCCTCGCCTTCTGCTGAATCTGGTTGCCGGTCGAGGGGAATACCACTGGACGAGGTTGGGGCTGAGGACGGAGGCCGACGTGGCGGCAGAAATGCACGGGGGACTTCAGGCTTTGCCACATCTCCAGCACCACCGTCCCTCGATACCCCATCAGCCTTCACACCACCATCACCACCACCATCACCACCACCATCACTGCCTGGCGTTCGCGAATCAGCCGCTGCATAAAGCGAGGGCAGGATCGCAGACAGCGACGTGCTGTGCGCTCCTCCTCGTGCCAGCTGGCCCTGCGCTGCAAAGCTGACATGGCCGCTGCGCATCGATTGGACAATGTTGGGGTCACTGGTTTTGCGCGCGCTGGCACCTGATGACGTGGCGGCGCGATTGACCTGCTGTCCTACCTGGCGGCGGAAATCAGGCAGCAGATGCGGCTGGGAGGCGGTGAAGAGGGCGGAGGCGGGCGAGGGGGCGGGGCTGACTCTCACGGCGTGCAGGTTGTAGTGGCTGTGGTAGTGCGCGTGCACGTGGCTGTAGTGGTGGTGCGGAGACGTGTCCGTGGGCCTGCGTGGTCTCAGGTTCAGCTGGGACAAAGAAGGGTGTGGGGCGAGAGGGTGAGGAGTGAGAAGCAGAGAAGATGCGAGTAAAAGATGCAAGACACACAAAGGAGCAGCTCGTGGTAGGAGAGAGCAGCAACAACACACGTGCACAGGGGGAATATCTGCCTCCCAATTCCCATCCCACTGCCTTGTGCACACCTTGCTGCCGAAGACACTCAGCTCCATGGCTCGCTCCGTGAGCGCCTGGTCCACCACAGCGCGGTCCCTCAGTGCCGCCGCCAGCTCACTGCCGCGAGGCATCGTCATCTCACTCGCCCCCTCCTCGCCCAGCCCGCCCCCGCCCTCCTCGCCAGCATGCTCCCCCGCCCCCATGGCCGCCAGTAGCGCCTCGTTGAGTGTGCTCTCCTCCGCTCCCTCCGCTCCGAAGCGCAGCAGCCCATCGTGGTCGTGCGTGGCCTGCGGGCGGTGCACGTGGAACGACCTGATTGGCCGGGGAGTGAGAGGGCAGAAGGAGGTGAGGACGGTAGGAGAGGATGGTTGCATTGCAGATGATGGAATATGCGCACGCAGAACGAGTCAAGAAGGACAGCAGGAAGGTGCGTGCGAGCAAGCGATGAGAAGATGATAGGTGCCAGTGATGTACATGTGTTCATGCATTGCGAGTGATTGTGCAAGATCCACACATGCATCCACTCTATGCCGCACGCACCTGGTGGGCGTGTTTTGGACGGACATGAGGTCGCGGGGCATGTGGATGACAAGCAGCTTGCAGAGGGAGAGGGCGGAGTAGCGCCCGTGCAGCATGGCAGCGCTGTCTCCATACACTGCCCGCTCAGGGGCTGCACACAGAGAGACAGCACATAGCGGGTCAATGGACTCATGACACAACAGGAAACCCAGGATTCCCTGTTGCTTGCTGCATACTCAAACTTTCTGACCCATTCAGGGAATATGCAATGGCACGGGCAGCAGCTGTGGGAAAATCACCTGCGGCTGGCAGTGGCTGTGCTGTGAGCAACGCGGGCGCATCTATGGCCACCAACAAGCCATTCTCCACACGCCCATCGCCCCCTCCTCCTCCACCCCCATGGTTCTCACTGCCACCGCCCAGCAGCCTATCACTCTCGCCTACATCACCCCCTTGCACGCCATCCGCCTCTGAAACCTCGCCCCCTTTCCCCTGCCCAGCGCCTCCATTTGCAGAACCAGCAGCGGCATAATCAGCAGCAGCGGCAGCATCAGCAACGGCAGACGAGGCAGCAGCAGTATGCGTGGGATCCAGCAGAGGCTGGGAGGCAGCGAGAGCAGAACCAGAGAAAGGAATGGCAGATGCATTGGCTAGAGAGAGGTCGACGGGGCGCACGGACCCGAGCAGCAGCACGGCCACTTGCGAGGGCAGCAGGTCCAGGGTGTCCCCCGGGCGGCATGTGAGGAGGTGCGCTGAGTCGGTGAGCAGCACTCGCAGCTCGTGCATTGATAGTGCTCCAAACTCCTCTGGTTGCAGCACCCTCACCACCTCCAGACAGCTCTCCTGCATGGGGAGGATCACAGGACAGGGGAAGCGCGAGAGCACCGGGAGGAAGGGGAGGGAAACAAGGGGAAAGGGAGAAGAACACGGAGTGGGGGAGAGAGAGGGGGCAGGAGAAGAAATATTGCAAAAAAAAAAAAAAAACAAATAGGAGAAGGAGCCAAGAGAATCTGAAAAGAGAAGAACTGAGGCCCTTCCACGCTCCCTGCTCCTTACCTTCCAGAGAAAGTCCTCTATAGCGTCGCTGCTGCCTGCAGCATCCATGATCCTCTGCCTGTCGATGAAGAAGCAGTGCAGCACGCTGTCTGCCACCACCGTGCTCATGTACACGCATCCCCGCAGTGTCTCATACAGCCCCACGGAGCTGCCGTGTGCAAACAGCGGCGGGATGAACCGATGCCCATGCGCCTCTGCTTCCGCCTCTGCTCGCGCTGACGTCCACTGCCGTTGGTGGGTGGGGTGGGACGGGGGAGAGAGAATACGACGTGCAGGAAGAAGGGTGTGAGAGAACCGAGAGTGGGGACATCTGAGTATCTGATACTGCGACACATGAAGGATGGATGGACGGAGGGACGGACAGATGGGTGGGTGGGTAGGTGGGCAGGTGTGCGTGGCGGTACCGGAGGCGATGAGCCAGACGCCCTGAGCAGGCTGCCCCTCGTGGAAGAGGGACGCCCCGGAGAGTTTGGTGGCCTCTTTGAGCGGCTGCAGCAGCGCCACGCGGATGTCCGCCGGTAGCGCTCCGATGAGCGGCTGCCGTGCCAGCACCTCCCCCGCCGGCAGCATCGCCACAAACGGCGGGCTGCGCTGCAGCTTCTTCATGTCCGCCTGCACCGCCTTGTGCAGATGCATCACCTCGCGCTGGTCCAGCAACCCCGCGTGCTCGAGATTCTCGACGTACCCGTGTAGGCCTTGCAGGATGGCGTGTGTGACCTGCTTGGTCTTGATGATGGTGAGGACCTCGGGGAAGTTGAGGCGCACGTCTTCCATGAACTTCTTGGCCGGTGTCTCGTCCTCCTCGCTCTCCAGTATCACTGCTTCACATATGGGACTGTCCTCTGGTGGAAACAGGGGTTAGAAAGGGAGAGGGAAGAAGAGTGGAGGTGAGGAGGCAGCGGCAGAAGCGATGCCGTGTGTGACCTGCTTGGTCTTGATGATGGTGAGGACTTCGGGGAAGTTGAGGCGCACGTCTTCCATGAACTTCTTTGCTGGTGTATCCTCCTCCTCGCTCTCCAGTATCACCGCCTCGCATATCGGGCTGTCCTCTGATGGACGGAGGGGTGAGGAGAGGAGAGGGAGGGCGAGGGAAAGATGAGAAAGCAGCGCAGAAGTGATGGAGCAACAGCCATGCAAGCGGGTGATTTCACCCACAGATTCACAAATCCATTCACTGATCAACAACCCCACTCACTGAGGAAGTCCCGCAGCTGCTGCCGGGCGTGCCTTAAAGCGCGGATGTAAGCAGCAGACATGGAGGCGGCGAGCTCGAGACGGCCGACGGTGACCCAGTTGAGGGCGCGCTGGGGGAGCAGTGATGGCGCAACGGTTGATTTCACCCACTGACTGACATACAGTTTCACCCACCCGCTCATTGATCAAGAACCCCACTCACTGAGGAAGTCCCGCAGCTGCTGCCGGGCGTGGCGCAGAGCGCGGATGTAAGCAGCACTCATGGAGGCGGCGAGCTCGAGGCGGTCCACCGTGACCCAGTTGAGGGCGCGCTGGGGAAGCAGTGATGGTGCAAGGGCCGTGCACACAAGTGTGATCTCACCCACTGACTGACGCACAATTTCACCCATCCGTTAATCAACCATCCCACTCACTGAGGAAGTCCCGCAGCTGCTGTCGAGCATGCCGCAGAGCGCGGATGTAAGCAGCACTCATGGAGGCGGCGAGCTCCAGACGGTCGACGTTGACCCAGTTGAGGGCGCGCTGGGGGAGCAGCTTGCGCAGGCGGCGGTGGATGAGGCGCAGGTAGCGCGGCATGCGCACGTGCGGCTCCAGGGCCTTCCACAGCAGCAGGCGGCGCTCCTGTGTGGTGAGGTCGACGGCCTCGGCCACGGCCTGCATGAGCAGCATGGCGGCTGTTTGGTTCACTCGCCCCTCCTCCAGCATGCTCCAGTACGCCGCCTGCACGCCTGGGGCGGGTGGAGAACAGGGGCGGTGGCGGGGCAGTATGGAGAACGGAAAAGAGGCACGGAGAGAAATTGAGCAGGAGCAGGGTGGGGGGGGAGAGGCGATGTTAGAGGATGCGACACATGGGGGGCAACCAACCGTGTGAGATCCTGCAGACCATGTCTTAGAATGGAAAACAAAGCAACAAGGCAGGGGCGCTGAATAAGCATGCAGGAGTTCTGAATGAACGAGCATGCAGGCGCGCACCATTGAGGAACCTGAGGCGGGTGTCATGCAGCTGCTGCGCCCGCAGCTGCTCATGCGACTGGCTGTGGTCATGCGGGTGGCTCTTCCTCACCCCCACCCCCACCCCCGACCCTCCTCCCGAACCAGCTCCCGAGCCTCCGAATCGGCTCAGGAAGGCACTGGCGGAGAGGGTCCCGTGCGAGGCGGGCTGCTTGAGGCAGGTGAGGTACTCGTTGACGGTGGCCCACTCCGCTGGCCCCAGCTCCTCATCGTCTCCGATCTCCTCAAACGTCTTCACCGCGTACTCACAGAGTTCTTGCTTCGTAAAGCTCACCACCCGCTTCTGTTGTGGGAGAGGCGGGGAGAGGCGGGGGTGCGAGCAGGGGGGGGTGGGGCGGGAGAAGGGGGGAAGGAAGTAGGCAATGGGGGATGGGAGAAGGACAGAAAGGAGGGTGACTGAGAGCAGGGCGGATAGAGGTTCAGGAAGAGGAGTAAAGAAATAAAACAGGGAGAGAGTGACGGTGGAGAAGGGAAGGGAGCGAGCAAGGAAACAGAGTAGATACATTGGAACACACAGGATGGCTGAGCGGAGAAGAAAACGAGCCGACAGGGAAGATGAGGAACCTAACGCGGTTAGATAGGTTGTGATGATACTTGAGGCGTGTAAGGAGGGGGAGAGGGAGCGGGTCACCTCACCTTGATGTCGGAGGTGGCGTTCATCTTGAGAGCGGCGAGGACGAACTGCGTGGTGGAGCCGTTCACTATGAGCGTCAGGAACACCACTCCACCCGTCAGAAACATGAACTGCCACATGCGGGCAGGCAGGCAGGCGGGCAGGCGGGCGGGCGGGCGGGCGGGCGGGCGAGCGGGCAGAGAGAGGCGGCATGAGCAGAATTGCATGTGCCGTGATGCTAAACATGAAACCCTGATGTAACAGGACATTTCACATGCCGTGCAAGAGATAAGAGGTGAGCACTGTGTGCAGGCTGGCAAGTTGCCCGTGGGCACAAATGAACCTTTAAGAGCAGAGAGGAAAGTAGATGGAGAGCAGGAGAAGACTTACCCTGGCCTCTGTTTCTTTACTGATGTGTTCTGTTACCGGCTCATGCTGTCAGATGGCAGAAAGGGAAGAGGGGTGGAATCATCATGGTCATTTAATGGTGAGGCTGACGCCCCATGGCAGAAGCAGACCACGGAATGAGCACGTTTCATAAAGGGGAGATGGGAAGACATTGTGCGCGGCATGAACCTTGGGAAGGAGAGGAAGACACAGCGACTGGGCCCAGCAGACAGGACAGCAGAGAAACCCCACGCCTCCCATGTGCCCCACGCCTCCCATGTGCCCCACGCCTCCCATGTGCCCCACGCCTCCCATGTGACTCACGCTGACGAGCAGGGCGAGCGTGAGGGCGACGGCACCACGCAGGCCCGACCAGACGAGGATGATGGCCTCCTTCCACGTGAGCCCGTAGCCGCTGCTGGCCAGCCCGGGGTACAACACTCCCACCACCACCACGCGGGATAGCTGCACGAAGACGTAGAGCAGAATCATGTAGCCCCAGTCCGCGCCTGGTGGATGGGTGGAAGGGGGAAGGGGAGAGAGGAAGGGTACGGTAGAGCATGCGAGGAGGCAAATCAGGGGTGAAGTCGTATGGCAGGACGAGTTGCAAACGAGAGCAGAGTTCAGTGGCCTTTGAAACGAATCTGATCTAATGAGCTGAGCACCACGCCGACACAGCCAGCAGCAGCAGCACGCAGAGGAGGCAAGCTAGCAAAGAGTAGCGAGGAGGGGAGCACCTTTGATGTAGTTAGAGTTTTGAAGAATGCTCTCTGATATCACCACTCCACTGCCAGGAGGGGCGAAGAAGAGATTGCAGTACATGAGATGAGACAAGACACGCATTAATCCGAATGATTGAATTAAAAAAAGTTGCAATGGCCCATGTCAACAGGTGCCTACCCAAGCCTTCATTGAAAGCCACCAGCAGCATGGGTTCACGTGGTGGCTTGTGGTGTGGTGTTACCTGAGAACGAAGATGAGCGTGTTGGAGATGTACGACACCATCTCCCTGCACGCAATGACGCATAGCGTGGGAATGCGTGCGACACGCGTTAATGCAACTATGGGAACGAAATTGAGAAACATGGCTGTCCAGCACAGTACATGAAATAGATAAGGCTGCACGATTCTCACCAGAAGTGGTGCATGCCCTGCTCGCTCTCCCCTGTGAACGCTGTCTTGGCGAATATGGCAAACATGCTGCCATGAGGAGTGGGGACGAGGGAGGAGAGAAGGGGGAAGCAGGGAGGGAGCGAAGGAGGGAGAGAAATTAGTGAGATATGAAAGAGTCCCCAGGTCAAACAGAGTATGATTTAAAACCGGTATACAAGCTTCACTGTACTGGCATATGCAGCTTAAATGCCAAGCGCCATGCATCTCACATGCCAAGCGTCATGCATCTCACATGCCAAGCGTCATGCATCTCACATGCCAAGCGCCATGCATCTCACATGCCAAGCGTCATGCATCTCACATGCCAAGCGTCATGCATCTCACATGCCAAGCGCCATGCATCTCACATGCCAAGCGCCATGCATCTCACATGCTAACCGCCATGCATCTCACATGCCAAGCGCCATGCATCTCACATGCCAAGCGTCATGCATCTCACATGCCAAGCGCCATGCATCTCACATGCCAAGTGCCATGCATCTCACATGCCAAGCGTCATGCATCTCACATGCCAAGCGTCATTCATCTCACATGCCAAGCGTCATGTCTGACAGCACTCCCGATGTCTGAGCCACATCGTTCGCCTGCATGGAGGGAGGGAGGGATGCAATGCAGTGACACACAGAGAGGTGGCCTCGCACTCGACCGCAGCACCATGGATGAAGGTCGATGCGTACATTCACTCGCACACTTGCATATCGTAAGTCCCATGCAGCGAGAAAAAAAACCCAGGGAGTAAGGTGCATGTGATCATTCGCATGCATTGTGACATGACAACATGGCATGGCATGGCATGGCATGGCATGGCATGGCATGGCATGCCCTTGACCCCATGGCATGGCACAGCATGCCCTTGACCCCATGGCATGGCACAGCATGCCCTTGACCCCATGGCATGGCATGTCATGCGTGTGATGCGGTGCAGCATGCACATGCCCACGTACCACGAAGAAGGCCATGTAGGAGGCGGTGAGGCTGATGGTGATCTCGATGACAGGGTCGCTGAAGACGGTGCGCAGCCACAGCAGACTCACCACCCCGAACGCCATCCCCAGCCCCACCCTGCACCATGCCATGCCATGGCAACACAGCGAGGAGGGGGGAAACGCGATGAGCCGCACATAAGACGTGCGAATAACGACGAGAGAGGGGAGGGAGGGAGATGTGTCACCAAAGGCTGGTACGTGTGAGAACATGCTGGCATGTGCCACTCACCCGCCGAGCGTGACCTTGAAGAGGAAGCCGATGACATCCCCGATGCCGTAGCTGTAGCCCAGAGTGAGGCGCAGGAACAGCTGGAACACCACTATCGCCGTGCTGCGCTCACAGGCACGGCAGGGCAGGGGCAGGGCACAGTTGGACAAGTGAGGATACGGGAGTTGATGCAGGATGATGAATGAGGGCGTGGAGATGGTCTGATAGCACGCCAACCCGCGACCATAACATTCTTCCTCTGCCAACCAACCCATCATTCACCCAAACCCCTCAACCCTCACCCCTCACCCCTTATCACCCCTCATCACCGCTCACCCATCGTTCATGAGCGCCTCGCCATCAATGATGGTGCTGAGCTTCTTGGAGGCGCCCAGGTCCTTGAACCCTCACCCCTTATCACCCCTTATCACCCCTTATGACCCCTCACCCGTCATTCATGAGGGCCTCCCCGTCAATGATGGTGCTGAGCTTCTTGGAGGCGCCCAGGTCGCGCAGCAGCGCCACCACGGCCACGGGGTCCGTGGCGCTGAGCAGCCCGCCCAGCAGCATGGCCGTGCTCCAGTTCCACCCGTACGGCAGCACGTACTGCCGTGCCATGCAACCCGCCGTGCAGCACGTTGGGGGTGGGGAGGGGTGGATGGTAACAAGAGGAGGAGAAAAGAGGAATGCCCTCAGCTGGGCCGTACAGTGACTTGGAACTAGCTAGGGCAGAAAAAACGCTAATTAATGCATGATAAAGTCCTTGCCCCCTCATCTTCCGAGCTTCCTCTGATTCCTCTCGCTGTGTGCTTGCTTACCCGGCTGATGACTCCGAGGAAGCCAGTGGAGATGGCCACACCCGGCACTGCCAGCAGAAACATCTGGACCAGACACCGCTGCTCGTGTCGCACCAAGGGGAGCATGGGGAACGTGGGAATCACAAAGGGAAGTGAGGATGAAGGGGAACAAGTGGGGAGTAGCTGTATGTGGGGACAGGGTCAGGCACGCATATGAGGATTTCCATGCTGAGACAACACGAGGTACAAGGCACGGTTGACTGACCTTGACTTGGTGGAACTCGAAGGAAAAGGCGCTTTCGAATAGCAGTGCGGGCAGAAAGACGTAGAGCACCAGCTCTGGATCAATGTTGGCCCCTGCAAGCACGCACAGACGCAGGGACGCGTGGCGAAGGATACAGCACAAATTTGGCTAATTGAAACCATTACCGAGACAAGGGATTCGGGAATCTTGCGATATAAGTCAGGGAGAAGTCGAACACTAACAACTCGAGCTGATTTCGTAAAAAGAAGTGCGAATGCGATGGTCAGGGTTCATGAAGCGTACACATCCGAATGCTCTCCCCCAGCAGTCCCAGGTTGACATAATACTCTGCAAAACCACCACCACGAGCAAAACCACAGGTCAACGAACGAGCCACACAGATAGCAACAACTCCTCATCATAAGCAGTAGAAAAGGCTTGTCACCGTGATCGTATGGAATGGATCCCTCGCGTACCTAGCGCGCCGAGTCCGACGCCAACGAGCAGCAGCGCGACGGTGTACGGGATGCGCGTGTTGCTCAGCACCTGCCGGCACAGCGCGCCGAGCGCCAGCGACACGCCGATGAACACGAGCGCCACCTCGGGACCCGCGGTATGCGCCGGCTCCTGCGGCTGGGTTTCGCTGCTGGTCGTCATGATCGCGTCGCACGCTACCGAGGAGCTCACACAGTTACGTTTAGAACTATGCTAACGTGGATCGAACGGAATGCGCCGCCAGGCATGGAATGATCACGCAGAGTCAAGAAACTCGTTCGTGACGTTGCTTCGAATGCTCGCTTCTAATCCTGTTCCGTTGTCCGTCATAGAAACGTTTATGCTTACTTTTCGAAAAATGAAAGAAAGAAATAAAAACACAGCAAACTGATTACGCTTGACTAAATACGAGTGCTACCTCCAGACTATTGTGCTGATGCTGATCAATGTCGCTACCGCTCATTATGTTCTGGCGCTAGCGATTGCGCATGTGGACCCTATCACGAGCATCTCTGCCGTCCAGTTTTCAACACCACGCGTTGACTCGAAACGGGAACGCGGATACGTAGCGCGGCGAGAGCATGCAATCCACTAGCAGAAACCAGATCTCAAGAATGTTACGCCGAACGTTGAGAGATTGGAGCTGCGCAGCGAAAGCACCAAGTCACACAGCGTGAGGCTGTCGTCCGTCGTGAGTACGGCCGGTCGAAGTACACTCCGTCTGTCTGTCTGACCTGAACGTCCCTAAGAGCGCGGAGAGCCGCTGATGAACAAGATGACCGAGGTATGGAAGGGATGTTGTGTGGGCTGGATGGAATGGAATGGATGCAGTGCAGGCGATGGGTTGTGCTGGCGGTCACACGTCACGTCACGCCAGTTTCCCTCTTGTCTTGTGCCCAATTCGCCTCGGTGTTGCCCGCAGCTGTGCCTCCCCTGCTCGCCTCGCACAAAAGATCCTTGAAAGGAGATTCTTTCAACAAGGTTTCAGCTCCCTGAAATATCACCACGAGATATTGAGTGCACTGTACTACTGTAGAATTCTCCCAATCAGGATTGTATCCACACCTTCTTAGAAAATGAACCTTTCTTCACTTACCCATATGTTCTTCACCACCTAGCCCTACCACACCTCGGCAAAGGGACAACCAAATATGACGCAGCCTGCATTAGTCTGTGTGACAAGAGCCTCAGGCCTAGGGCAGGTATGTGCCCCAATCGTGCCGTGTCTTCCATGCATTTGCTTCACGGACATAGAGAGAGCCAGGATTTTGTGTTTCACGACTCCCTGTTGCCTACCTTGTGCCCGGCCTGGGTGCTGGAACCTACCGAGTAGCTCGTACGGTTGGATTATTCCATCATACTACAAGGTTGATGGGTATTTCCTGGTTGGCTAGTGGGTAGGTGACACCAGGTTGCTGGATATACAGTTTAGGTTAGTGGGTGTTTTCTGGGTTGACGACATGTTGGTTAGTTCCTTCTCCTAATCTGAGAACCCAGAAAGTGGTCAGGCAGATTCCATCCACGGTATGACTGCCTTTATTGCCGAGGAGGTGCACTCCAGCACATACACATTACGTACACGCAGTGATGACCCACGGCAAGTCTACACTGCGTTCACATCACATCATAATTGCACACTCTAACGCACCAACGCCCCTACTCTTTTGTACTTGTATCCGAGCCCTCGCTCTCGCCCTCCTCTTTGCCCTCCTGAGCCTCACCCGTGCTGGGCCACAGGTCACCCCACCGCACCTTGCGTGCAAACCGGTACTCCACGCGCCCCGCCGCCTTGGAGAAGAGCAGCCGCTGCAGCTCACCCCGCCGCCCGCGCCCATCCACCGAAGCACACACGTCCACTATCACGTGCTGCCCCCGCCGCCTCGGCTCGCGAATCACGCGGCTCCACTCAGGACTCAGATTCGCAAAGCGGTCGCCACGTGGCGGGTTGTCAGTGGCTGATGCGGGATCCACCGTATCATCATCCAGGTCAGAATCATCATCACCATAATCACTGCCACTGTCACCAACATCACCTTCCATTTCCCCACCCTCTTCGCCTGCAGAGCTGACGGGAGTGTGTTTTGGTCGAACATCCGCCTCCTCATCCTCATCTTCATCCTCATCCTCATCCTCCTCTTCCTCTTCCTCCTCCTCCTCCTCCTCCTCCGCCCGCTCCCCTCCCTCACCTGCACCCTTCGCCCCTTGCTCTTCCCCTTGCAGCAGTGCGACGCCCTCTGCCCCCACAGGCCCCTCGTCCAGGGGGATGAGCCGCACCGTCGGCCCCCACTTGGCTGGAGGGGGGAACAGCACAGGGGCGCACCAAGGAGGGGTGGGGGAGAACACCGAGGAGGATGGAACAGGAATGGCAAGCAGCAGGCATGCGCAAGTTGACACGATCAAACCTGTGCTGTGGGATGGGCTTGATGGGTGGGGCATGGGCCTTGCTGTCCGCATGGCCACCACAGATCCTCACACGCACACAGTGAGGGCATACAGTTACCTCAAACGCTCCACAGCTCAACGGCTCAACCGCTCCCCTCACCTTGCTTCTTGGCCAGGCGCTTGGCCTCCTTCTCTGCCTCCTCCCTCGCCTGCCTCTCCTTCTCCTCCCGCCGGAACTCCGCTATCTGCTGCAGCGGCGCCACCACCCTGCCACCCACAACCAGGGGAAAGAGGAGAAACCAAGTCACAACACCCAATTGAACCCCTCAAGCACCTTGGCAAACCCTTTCCTTCTCCTCCCCCCGGAACTGGGCTATCTGCTGCAACGGCGCCACCACCCTGCGGCTCTCAACCAGGGGAAAAGGGGAGGATGAGAAGTGAGGCAAGGCACGCAAATGCCACCCCTTGAAGGCCTTGCAAGTGGCAGCGCCAAATCAAACGAGCTTGGCATCACGAGTCCGCCTTGCCCCACCCACTCACTCGGGCCTCGCCTCGCCCCACCCACTCACTCGGGTCGAGGTCCCCTGCGCAGCACCACATAGGAGAACTTCTCCTCCTCCGTGCTGCCCGTTATCTCCTGCCCCGCTACCCTCTGTGGCGGGTGAAGGAGCAAGAGGGGTGGTGAGGCGAGGGAGAGCACAAGGTGTGATAATGAAGGGTGTGCCCACATGAGGCATGGATTGACAGAGAATGCAGGGCGAGAGACAAGGGAGGAGGAGCAGCAGAAGAGCAGAGAACATGGCAGCAAGGCCGCTACCACGACCGCTACCATACCTTGGCAATGCGCTGCACGGCAGAGCGCTGCAGCGTCTGGGAGAAGTGGCACCAGCTGCTCGTGCCGTACATGGGGCAGTGGCCGTCGTGTGCACACTGGGGGGGAGGGCGGGGGTGGGGAGGGCGGAGGAGTGAGATGTGGCAAGCAAGCAGAAGCATGCATATCAAACACAGGTGGCACCAGCTGACTGTGCCGTACATGGGGCAGTGCCCGTCGTGTGCACACTGGGGGGCGAGGGAGGGGGGAGGTGGGAGGCGAAGGTTACGTTTTAAAGAGTGCAGGGAATAAATGATGTGGTGAGTGGGACGGAGGAGGTGGAAAAAAGCAGAAGGAAGGGATGCTGCAGGGACATGTGGTGGAAGTGAGGGGGCAGCAGAGGACGTGAGACGGAAGTGGGAAGAGAGAAGAGCGAGGGGCTAGGGGGGGGGAGGTGGCACTTACAGGGGCGAGCACGTGAGCACCGGGTGGCAGAAGGGGCTTGGAGGGGTGTGGTGCGTTCCTGCTTGGTCCCCTATCGGCCAGTCGAGCTGCCTTCTGGCTCATGTGGGAGGGGCGAGGGGGCATGGGGTGAGCAGGACGAGTGGAGGCAAGGCAAGGGAGGGGGAGATAACGCTGGAGAGTGCAGGAGAGAGCACAGGAGGACGGAGAGCAGAAGCACACAGCTGCACAAGAGGAGCAGCTGGGTATGAAAGGCGAGATTGGCTTGAGGAAGGGAAGAGGGAGGGACCATAGGAGTCCCTGGGGGTCCCTGGGAATCTCTGGGGGTCTCTAGGGGTCCGTGGGGGGACGCTGCACCGCACGCTCATACGCTGCACCGCACGCTCATACGCTGCACCGCCCGCTCATACGCTGCACCGCACGCTCATACGCTGCACCGCCCGCTCATACGCTGCACCGCCCGCTCATACGCTGCACCGCCCGCTCATACGCTGCACCGCCCGCTCATACGCTGCACCGCCCGCTCATACGCTGCACCGCCCGCTCATACGCTGCACCGCACGCTCATACGCTGCACCGCCCGCTCATACGCTGCACCGCCCGCTCATACGCTGCACCGCACGCTCATACGCTGCACCGCCCCCTCATACGCTGCACCGCACGCTCATACAAATGCACCGCACGCTCATACGCTGCACCGCACGCTCATACGCTGCACCGCCCGCTCCTACGCTGCACCGCGCGCTCATACGCTGCACCGCCCGCTCATACGCTGCACCGCCCGCTCTTACGCTGCACCGCCCGCTCATACGCTGCACCGCCCGCTCATACGCTGCACTGCACGCTCATACGCTGCACCGCCCGCTCATACGCTGCACCACCCGCTCATACGCTGCACCGAACGCTCATACGCTGCACCGAACGCTCATACGCTGCACTGCCCGCTCATACGCTGCACCGCACGCTCATACGCTGCACCGCACGCTCATACGCTGCACCGCCCGCTCATACGCTGCACCGCACGCTCATACAAATGCACCGCACGCTCATACGCTGCACCGCACGCTCATACGCTGCACCGCGCGCTCATACGCTGCACCGCGCGCTCATACGCTGCATCGCCCACTCATACGCTGCACCGCCCGCTCTTACGCTGCACCGCCCGCTCATACGCTGCACCGCCCGCTCATACGCTGCACCGCACGCTCATACGCTGCACCGCCCGCTCATACGCTGCACCGCCCGCTCATACGCTGCACCGCACGCTCATACGCTGCACCGCCCGCTCATATGCTGCACCGCCCGCTCATACGCTGCACCACCCGCTCATACGCTGCACCGAACGCTCATACGCTGCACCGAACGCTCATACGCTGCACTGCCCGCTCATACGCTGCACCGCCCGCTCATACGCTGCACCGCACGCTCATACGCTGCACCGCACGCTCATACGCTGCACCGCCCGCTCATACGCTGCACCGCCCGCTCATACGCTGCACCGCCCGCTCATACGCTGCACCGCCCGCTCATACGCTGCACCGCCCGCTCATACGCTGCACCGCACGCTCATACGCTGCACCGCCCGCTCATACGCTGCACCGCACGCTCATACGCTGCACCGCACGCTCATGCGCTGCACCCGCTGCACCGCACGCTCATACGCTGCACCGCCGGCTCATACCCTGCACCGCCCGCTCATACGCTGCACCGCCCGCTCATACGCTGCACCGCCCGGTCATACGCTACACCACCCGCTCATACGCTGCACCGCCCGCTCATACGCTGCACCACCCGCTCATACGCAGCACCGCCCGCTCATACGCTGCACCGCCCGCTCATACGCTGCACCGCCCGCTCATACGCTGCACCGCCCGCTCATACGCTGCACCGCCCGCTCATACGCTGCACCGCCCGCTCATACGCTGCACCGCACGCTCATACGCTGCACCGCCCGCTCATACGCTGCACCGCACGGTCATACGCTGCACCGCACGCTCATGCGCTGCACCCGCTGCACCGCACGCTCATACGCTGCACCGCCGGCTCATACCCTGCACCGCACGCTCATACGCTGCACCGCCCGCTCATACGCTGCACCGCCCGCTCATACGCTGCACCGCCCGCTCTTACGCTGCACCGCCCGCTCTTACGCTGCACCGCCCGCTCATACGCTGCACCGCCCACTCTTACGCTGCACCGCACGCTCATACGCTGCACCGCCCGCTCATACGCTGCACCGCCCGCTCATACGCTGCACCGCCCGCTCTTACACTGCACCGCCCGCTCATACGCTGCACCGCCCGCTCATACGCTGCACCGCCCGGTCATACGCTACACCAACCGCTCATACGCTGCACCGCCCGCTCATACGCTGCACCACCCGCTCATACCCAGCACCGCCCGCTCATACGCTGCACCGCCCGCTCATACGCTGCACCGCCCGCTCATACAGTGCACCGCCCGCTCATACGCTGCACCGCCCGCTCATACGCAGCACCGCCCGCTCATACGCTGCACCGCCCGCTCATACGCAGCACCGCACGCTCATACGCTGCACCGCCCGCTCATACGCTGCACCGCACGCTCATACGCTGCACCGCCAGCTCATACGCTGCACCGCACGCTCATACCCTGCACCGCACGCTCATACGCTGCACCGCCCGCTCATACGCTGCACCGCCCGCTCTTACGCTGCACCGCCCGCTCATACGCTGCACCGCCCGCTCTTACACTGCACCGCCCGCTCATACGCTGCACCGCCCGCTCATACGCTGCACCGCCCGGTCATACGCTACACCAACCGCTCATACGCTGCACCGCCCGCTCATACGCTGCACCACCCGCTCATACCCAGCACCGCCCGCTCATACGCTGCACCGCCCGCTCATACGCTGCACCGCCCGCTCATACAGTGCACCGCCCGCTCATACGCTGCACCGCCCGCTCATACGCAGCACCGCCCGCTCATACGCTGCACCGCCCGCTCATACGCAGCACCGCACGCTCATACGCTGCACCGCCCGCTCATACGCTGCACCGCACGCTCATACGCTGCACCGCCAGCTCATACGCTGCACCGCACGCTCATACCCTGCACCGCACGCTCATACGCTGCACCGCCCGCTCATACGCTGCACCGCCCGCTCTTACGCTGCACCGCCCGCTCATACGCTGCACCGCCCGCTCATACGCTGCACCGCACGCTCATACGCTGCACCGCCCGCTCATACGCTGCACCGCCCGCTCATACGCTGCACCGCACGCTCATACGCTGCACCGCCCGCTCATACGCTGCACCGCACGCTCATACGCTGCACCGCCCGCTCATACGCTGCACCGCCCGCTCATACGCTGCACCGCCCGCTCATACGCTGCACCGCCCGCTCATACGCTGCACCGCACGCTCATACGCTGCACCGCCCGCTCATACGCTGCACCGCACGCTCATACGCTGCACCGCACGCTCATGCGCTGCACCCGCTGCACCGCACGCTCATACGCTGCACCGCCGGCTCATACCCTGCACCGCCCGCTCATACGCTGCACCGCCCGCTCATACGCTGCACCGCCCGGTCATACGCTACACCACCCGCTCATACGCTGCACCGCCCGCTCATACGCTGCACCACCCGCTCATACGCAGCACCGCCCGCTCATACGCTGCACCGCCCGCTCATACGCTGCACCGCCCGCTCATACGCTGCACCGCCCGCTCATACGCTGCACCGCCCGCTCATACGCTGCACCGCCCGCTCATACGCTGCACCGCACGCTCATACGCTGCACCGCCCGCTCATACGCTGCACCGCACGGTCATACGCTGCACCGCACGCTCATGCGCTGCACCCGCTGCACCGCACGCTCATACGCTGCACCGCCGGCTCATACCCTGCACCGCACGCTCATACGCTGCACCGCCCGCTCATACGCTGCACCGCCCGCTCATACGCTGCACCGCCCGCTCTTACGCTGCACCGCCCGCTCTTACGCTGCACCGCCCGCTCATACGCTGCACCGCCCACTCTTACGCTGCACCGCACGCTCATACGCTGCACCGCCCGCTCATACGCTGCACCGCCCGCTCATACGCTGCACCGCCCGCTCTTACACTGCACCGCCCGCTCATACGCTGCACCGCCCGCTCATACGCTGCACCGCCCGGTCATACGCTACACCAACCGCTCATACGCTGCACCGCCCGCTCATACGCTGCACCACCCGCTCATACCCAGCACCGCCCGCTCATACGCTGCACCGCCCGCTCATACGCTGCACCGCCCGCTCATACAGTGCACCGCCCGCTCATACGCTGCACCGCCCGCTCATACGCAGCACCGCCCGCTCATACGCTGCACCGCCCGCTCATACGCAGCACCGCACGCTCATACGCTGCACCGCCCGCTCATACGCTGCACCGCACGCTCATACGCTGCACCGCCAGCTCATACGCTGCACCGCACGCTCATACCCTGCACCGCACGCTCATACGCTGCACCGCCCGCTCATACGCTGCACCGCCCGCTCTTACGCTGCACCGCCCGCTCATACGCTGCACCGCCCGCTCATACGCTGCACCGCACGCTCATACGCTGCACCGCACGCTCATACGCTGCACCGCCCGCTCATACGCTGCACCGCACGCTCATACGCTGCACCGCCCGCTCATACGCTGCACCGCCCGCTCATACGCTGCACCGCCCGCTCATACGCTGCACCGCCCGCTCCTACGCTGCACCGCCCGCTCATACGCTGCACCGCCCGCTCATACGCTGCACCGCCCGCTCATACGCTGCACCGCCCGCTCATACGCAGCACCGCCCGCTCATACGCTGCACCGCCCGCTCATACGCTGCACCGCCCGCTCATACGCAGCACCGCACGCTCATACGCTGCACCGCCCGCTCATACGCTGCACCGCACGCTCATACGCTGCACCGCCCGCTCATACGCTGCACCGCACGCTCATACCCTGCACCGCACGCTCATACGCTGCACCGCCCGCTCATACGCTGCACCGCCCGCTCTTACGCTGCACCGCCCGCTCATACGCTGCACCGCCCGCTCATACGCTGCACCGCCCGCTCATACGCAGCACCGCCCGCTCATACGCTGCACCGCACGCTCATACGCTGCACCGCCCGCTCTTACGCTGCACCGCCCGCTCTTACGCTGCACCGCGCGCTCATACGCTGCACCGCCCGCTCATACGCTGCACCTCCCGCTCATACGCTGCACCGCCCGCTCATACGCTGCACCGCTCGCTCATACGCTGCACCGCCCGATTCTACGCTGCACCGCCCGCTCATACGCTGCACCGCCCGCTCCTACGCTGCACCGCGCGCTCATACGCTGCACCGCCCGCTCATACGCTGCACCGCCCGCTCATACGCTGCACCGCCCGCTCATACGCAGCACCGCCCGCTCATACGCTGCACCGCCCGCTCATACGCTGCACCTCCCGCTCATACGCTGCACCGCTAGCTCATACGCTGCACCGCTCGCTCATACGCTGCACCGCCAGCTCTTACGCTGCACCGCCCGCTCATACGCTGCACCGCCCGCTGATACGCTGCACCGCCCGGTCATACGCTGCACCGCCCGCTGATACGCTGCACCGCGCGCTCATACGCTGAACCGCATGCTCATACGCTGCACCGCACGCTCATACGCTGCACCGAACGCTCATACGCTGCACCGCCCGCTCATACGCTGCACCGCCCGCTCATACGCTGCACCGCCCGCTCATACGCTGCACCGCCCGCTCATACGCTGCACCGCCCGCTCATACGCTGCACCGCGCGCTCATACGGTGCACCGCCCGCTCATACGCTGCACCGCCCGCTCATACGCTGCACCGCACGCTCATACCCTGCACCGCACGCTCATACGCTGCACCGCCCGCTCATACGCTGCACCGTCCGCTCATACGCTGCACCACCAGCTCTTACGCTGCACCGCCCGGTCATACGCTGCACCGCCCGCTCATACGCTGCACCGCCCGGTCATACGCTGCACCGCCCGCTCATACGCTGCACCGCTCGCTCATACGCTGCACCGCCCGCTCATACGCTGCACCGCCCGCTCATACGCTGCACCGCCCGCTCATACGCTGCACCGCCCGCTCATACGCTGCACCGCCCGCTCATACACTGTACCGCCCGCTCATACGCTGCACCGCCCGCTCATACGCGGCACCGCACGCTCATACGCTGCACCGCACGCTCATGCGCTGCACCCGCTGCACCGCACGCTCATACGCTGCACCGCCGGCTCATACCCTGCACCGCACGCTCATACGCTGCACCGCCCGCTCATACGCTGCACCGCCCGCTCATACGCTGCACCGCCCGCTCATACGCTGCACCGCACGCTCATACGCTGCAACCGCACGCTCATACGCTGCACCGCCAGCTCATACGCTGCACCGCCCGCTCATACCCTGCACCGCACGCTCATACGCTGCACCGCCCGCTCATACGCTGCACCGCCCGCTCATACGCTGCACCGCCCGCTCATACGCTGCACCGCACGCTCATACGCTGCACCGCCCGCTCATACGCTGCACCGCCCGCTCATACGCTGCACCGCCCGCTCATACGCTGCACCGCCCGCTCATACGCTGCACCGCCCGCTCCTACGCTGCACCGCCCGCTCATACGCTGCACCGCACGCTCATACGCTGCACCGCCCGCTCATACGCTGCACCGCCCGCTCATACGCTGCACCGCCCGCTCATACGCTGCACCGCCCGCTCATACGCTGCACTGCCCGCTCATACGCTGCACCGCCCGCTCATACGCTGCACCGCCCGCTCATACGCTGCACCGCCCGCTCATACGCTGAACCGCCCGCTCATACGCTGCACCGCCCGCTCATACGCTGCACCGCCCGCTCATACGCTGCACCGCCCGCTCATACGCTGCACCGCCCGCTCATACGCTGCACCGCACGCTCATACGCTGCACCGCACGCTCATACGCTGCACCGCACGCTCATGCGCTGCACCCGCTGCACCGCACGCTCATACGCTGCACCGCCCGCTCATACCCTGCACCGCCCGCTCATACGCTGCACCGCTCGCTCATACGCTGCACCGCCCGCTCTTACGCTGCACCGCCCGCTCTTACGCTGCACCGCCCGCTCATACGCTGCACCGCCCACTCTTACGCTGCACCGCCCACTCTTACGCTGCACCGCACGCTCATACGCTGCACCGCCCGCTCATACGCTGCACCGCCCGCTCATACGCTGCACCGCCCGCTCTTACACTGCACCGCCCGCTCAAACGCTGCACCGCCCGCTCATACGCAGCACCGCCCGCTCATACGCTGCACCGCCCGCTCATACGCAGCACCGCACGCTCATACGCTGCACCGCCCGCTCATACGCTGCACCGAACGCTCATACGCTGCACCGCCAGCTCATACGCTGCACCGCAAGCTCATACCCTGCACCGCACGCTCATACGCTGCACCGCCCGCTCATACGCTGCACCGCCCGCTCTTACGCTGCACCGCCCGCTCATACGCTGCACCGCCCGCTCATACGCTGCACCGCCGCTCATACGCTGCACCGTACGCTCATACGCTGCACCGCCCGCTCATACGCTGCACCACCCACTCATACGCTGCACCGCCCGCTCATACGCTGCACCGCCCGCTCATACGCTGCACCGCCCGCTCATACGCTGCACCGCCCGCTCATACACTGCACCGCACGCTCATACGCTGCACCGCCCGCTCATACGCTGCACCGCCCGCTCATACGCTGCACCGCCCGCTCCTACGCTGCACCACCCGCTCCTACGCTGCACCGCCCGCTCATACGCTGCACCGCCAGCTCATACGCTGCACCGCCCGCTCATACGCTGCACCGCCCGCTCATACGCAGCACCGCCCGCTCATACGCTGCACCGCCCGCTCATACGCTGCACCGCCCGCTCATACGCAGCACCGCACGCTCATACACTGCACCGCCCGCTCATACGCTGCACCGCACGCACATACGCTGCACCGCCCGCTCATACGCTGCACCGCACGCTCATACGCTGCACCGCACGCTCATACGCTGCACCGCCCGCTCATACGCTGCACCGCCCGCTCATACGCTGCACCGCCCGCTCATACGCTGCACCGCCCGCTCATACGCAGCACCGCCCGCTCATACGCTGCACCGCCCGCTCATACGCTGCACCGCACGCTCATACGCTGCACCGCACGCTCATACGCTGCACCGCCCGCTCATACGCTGCACCGCACGCTCATACGCTGCACCGCCCGCTCATACCCTGCACCGCACGCTCATACGCTGCACCGCCCGCTCATACGCTGCACCGCCCGCTCTTACGCTGCACCGCCTGCTCATACGCTGCACCGCCCGCTCATATGCTGCACCGCCCGCTCATACGCTGCACCGCCCGCTCATACGCTGCACCGCCCGCTCATACGCTGCACCGCACGCTCATACGCTGCACCGCACGCTCATACGCTGCACCGCCCGCTCATACGCTGCACCGCCCGCTCATACGCTGCACCGCCCGCTCATACGCTGCACCGCACGCTCATACGCTGCACCGCACGCTCATACGCTGCACCGCCAGCTCATACGCTGCACCGCCCGCTCATACCCTGCACCGCACGCTCATACGCTGCACCGCCCGCTCATACGCTGCACCGCCCGCTCATACGCTGTACCGCCCGCTTCATACGCTGCACCGCACGCTCATACGCTGCACCGCCCGCTCATACGCTGCACCGCACGCTCATACGCTGCACCGCCCGCTCATACCCTGCACCGCACGCTCATACGCTGCACCGCCCGCTCATACGCTGCACCGCCCGCTCATACGCTGCACCGCCCGCTCATACGCTGCAACCGCCCTCTCATACGCTGCACCGCCCGCTCATACGCTGCACCGCCCGCTCATACCGCTGCACCGCCCGCTCATACGCTGCACCGCCCGCTCATACGCTGCACGCCCCGCTCATACGCTGCACCGCCCGCTCATACGCTGCACTGCCCGCCTCATACGCTGCACCGCCCGCTCATACGCTGCACCGCCCGCTCATACGCTGCACCGGCCCGCTCATACGCTGCACCGCCCGCTCATACGCTGCACCGCCCGCTCATACGCTGCACCGCCCGCTCATACGCTGCACCGAACCGCTCATACGCTGCACCGAACGCTCATACGCTGCACCGACCGCTCATACGCTGCACCGCCCCGCTCATACGCTGCACCGCACGCTCATACGCTGCACCGCACCGCTCATACGCTGCACCGCCCGCTCATACGCTGCACCGCCCGCTCATACGCTGCACCGCACGCTCTACGCTGCACCGCACGCTCATACGCTGCACCGCCCGCTCATACGCTGCACCGCCCGCTCATACGCTGCACCGCCCGCTCATACGCAGCACCGCACGCTCATACGCTGCACCGCCCGCTCATACGCTGCACCGCACGCTCATACGCTGCACCGCCCGCTCATACGCTGCACCGCACGCTCATACCCTGCACCGCACGCTCATTACGCTGCACCGCCCGCTCATACGCTGCACCGCCCGCTCTTACGCTGCACCGCCCGCTCTTACGCTGCACCGCCCCGCTCATACGCTGCACCGCCCGCTCATACGCTGCACCGCACGCTCATACGCTGCACCGCCCGCTCATACGCTGCACCGCCCGCTCATACGCTGCACCGCACGCTCATACGCTGCACCGCACGCTCATACGCTGCACTCGCACGCTCATACGCTGCACCGCACGCTCATACGCTGCACCGCCCGCTCATACGCTGCCACCGCCCGCTCATACGCTGCACCGCCCCGCTCATACGCAGCACCGCCCGCTCATACGCAGCACCGCCCGCTCCTACGCTGCACCGCCCGCTCCTACGCTGCACCGCCCGCTCATACGCTGCACCGCCCGCTCATACGCTGCACCGCCCGCTCATACGCTGCACCGCCCGCTCATACGCAGCACCGCCCGCTCATACGCTGCACCGCCCGCTCATACGCTGCACCGCCCGCTCATACGCAGCACCGCACGCTCATACGCTGCACCGCCCGCTCATACGCTGCACCGCACGCTCATACGCTGCACCGCCCGCTCATACGCTGCACCGCACGCTCAATACCCTGCACCGCCCGCTCATAACGCTGCAACCGCACGCTCATACCCTGCACCGCCCGCTCATACGCTGCACCGCCCGCTCATACGCTGCACCGCCCGCTCATACGCAGCACCGCCCGCTCCTACGCTGCACCGCCCGCTCCTACGCTGCACCGCCCGCTCATACGCTGCAACGCACGCTCATACGCTGCACCGCACGCTCATACGCTGCACCGCCCGCTCATACCCTGCACCGCAACGCTCATACGCTGCACCGCCCGCTCATACGCTGCACACCGCCCGCTCATACGCTGCACCGCCCGCTCATACGCTGCACCGCCCTCTCATACGCTGCACCGCCCGCTCATACGCTGCACCGCCCCGCTCATACGCTGCAACCGCCCGCTCATACGCTGCACCGCCCGCTCATACGCTGCACCGCCCGCTCATACGCTGCCACCGCCCGGCTCATACGCTGCACTGCCCGCTCATACGCTGCACCGCCCGCTCATATGCCAGCACCGCCGCTCCTACCGCTGCACCGCCCGCTTCATACGCTGCCACCGCCGCTCATACGGCACCGCCCGCATCATACGCCTGCACCGCACGCTCATACGCTGCACCGCCCGCCTCATATGCTGCACCGCACCGCTCATACGCTGGCACCACCCGCTACATACGCCTGCAACGAACGCTTGTATATACGCTGCGACCGAACGCTCATACGCTGCACTGCCCGCTCATAGACGCTGCACCGCCCGCTCATACGCTGCCACCGCCGCTCATACGCTGCACCGCCCCGCTCATACGCTGCAACCGCCCGCTCATACGCTGCACCGCACGCTCTACGCTGCACCGCACGCTCATCACGCTGCACCGCCCGCATCATACGCCTGCACCGCCCGCTCATACGCTGCACCGCCCCCCGCTTCATACGCAGAGCACCGCACGCTCATACGCTTGCACCGCCCGCTCATACGCTGCACCGCCCGCGTCATACGCTTGCACCGCAGCGCTCATACGCTGCACCGCCCGCCCTCATACCCTGCACCGCACGCTCATACGCTGCACCGCCCGCTCATACGCTGCACCGCCCGCTCATACGCTGCACCGCCCGCTCATACGCTGCACCGCCCGCTCATACGCTGCACCGCCCGCTCATACGCTGCACCGCACGCTCATACGCTGCACCGCCCGCTCATACGCTGCACCGCACGCTCATACGCTGCACCGCCCGCTCATACGCTGCACCGCACGCTCATACCCTGCACCGCCCGCTCATACGCTGCACCGCCCGCTCATACGCTGCACCGCCCGCTCATACGCTGCACCGCCCGCTCATACGCTGCACCGCCCGCTCATACGCTGCACCGCCCGCTCATACGCTGCACCGCCCGCTCATACGCTGCACCGCACGCTCATACGCTGCACCGCCCGCTCATACGCTGCACCGCCCGCTCATACGCTGCACCGCCCGCTCATACGCTGCACCGAACGCTCATACGCTGCACCGAACGCTCATACGCTGCACCGCCCGCTCATACGCTGCACCGCCCGCTCATACGCTGCACCGCACGCTCATACGCTGCACCGCCCGCTCATACGCTGCACCGCCCGCTCATACGCTGCACCGCACGCTCATACGCTGCACCGCACGCTCATACGCTGCACCGCCCGCTCATACGCTGCACCGCCCGCTCATACGCTGCACCGCCCGCTCATACGCTGCACCGCACGCTCATACGCTGCACCGCCCGCTCATACGCTGCACCGCCCGCTCATACGCTGCACCGCACGCTCATACGCTGCACCGCCCGCTCATACGCTGCACCGCACGCTCATACGCTGCACCGCCCGCTCATACGCTGCACCGCCCGCTCATACGCTGCACCGCCCGCTCATACGCTGCACCGCACGCTCATACGCTGCACCGCCCGCTCATACGCTGCACCGCACGCTCATACGCTGCACCGCCCGCTCATACGCTGCACCGCACGCTCATACGCTGCACCGCCCGCTCATACGCTGCACCGCACGCTCATACGCTGCACCGCCCGCTCATACGCTGCACCGCCCGCTCATACGCTGCACCGCCCGCTCATACGCTGCACCGCCCGCTCATACGCTGCACCGCCCGCTCATACGCTGCACCGCCCGCTCATACGCTGCACCGCCCGCTCATACGCTGCACCGCACGCTCATACGCTGCACCGCCCGCTCATACGCTGCACCGCACGCTCATACGCTGCACCGCCCGCTCATACGCTGCACCGCCCGCTCATACGCTGCACCGCCCGCTCATACGCTGCACCGCCCGCTCATACGCTGCACCGCCCGCTCATACGCTGCACCGCCCGCTCATACGCTGCACCGCCCGCTCATACGCTGCACCGCCCGCTCATACGCTGCACCGCCCGCTCATACGCTGCACCGCCCGCTCATACGCTGCACCGCCCGCTCATACGCTGCACCGCCCGCTCATACGCTGCACCGCCCGCTCATACGCTGCACCGCCCGCTCATACGCTGCACCGCACGCTCATACGCTGCACCGCCCGCTCATACGCTGCACCGCCCGCTCATACGCTGCACCGCCCGCTCATACGCTGCACCGAACGCTCATACGCTGCACCGAACGCTCATACGCTGCACCGCCCGCTCATACGCTGCACCGCCCGCTCATACGCTGCACCGCACGCTCATACGCTGCACCGCCCGCTCATACGCTGCACCGCCCGCTCATACGCTGCACCGCACGCTCATACGCTGCACCGCACGCTCATACGCTGCACCGCCCGCTCATACGCTGCACCGCCCGCTCATACGCTGCACCGCCCGCTCATACGCTGCACCGCACGCTCATACGCTGCACCGCCCGCTCATACGCTGCACCGCCCGCTCATACGCTGCACCGCACGCTCATACGCTGCACCGCCCGCTCATACGCTGCACCGCACGCTCATACGCTGCACCGCCCGCTCATACGCTGCACCGCCCGCTCATACGCTGCACCGCCCGCTCATACGCTGCACCGCCCGCTCATACGCTGCACCGCCCGCTCATACGCTGCACCGCCCGCTCATACGCTGCACCGCCCGCTCATACGCTGCACCGCCCGCTCATACGCTGCACCGCCCGCTCATACGCTGCACCGCCCGCTCATACGCTGCACCGCCCGCTCATACGCTGCACCGCCCGCTCATACGCTGCACCGCCCGCTCATACGCTGCACCGCCCGCTCATACGCTGCACCGCACGCTCATACGCTGCACCGCCCGCTCATACGCTGCACCGCCCGCTCATACGCTGCACCGCCCGCTCATACGCTGCACCGCACGCTCATACGCTGCACCGAACGCTCATACGCTGCACCGCCCGCTCATACGCTGCACCGCCCGCTCATACGCTGCACCGCACGCTCATACGCTGCACCGCCCGCTCATACGCTGCACCGCCCGCTCATACGCTGCACCGCACGCTCATACGCTGCACCGCACGCTCATACGCTGCACCGCCCGCTCATACGCTGCACCGCCCGCTCATACGCTGCACCGCCCGCTCATACGCTGCACCGCACGCTCATACGCTGCACCGCCCGCTCATACGCTGCACCGCACGCTCATACGCTGCACCGCCCGCTCATACGCTGCACCGCACGCTCATACGCTGCACCGCACGCTCATACGCTGCACCGCCCGCTCATACGCTGCACCGCCCGCTCATACGCTGCACCGCCCGCTCATACGCTGCACCGCCCGCTCATACGCTGCACCGCACGCTCATACGCTGCACCGCCCGCTCATACGCTGCACCGCCCGCTCATACGCTGCACCGCCCGCTCATACGCTGCACCGCCCGCTCATACGCTGCACCGCCCGCTCATACGCTGCACCGCCCGCTCATACGCTGCACCGCCCGCTCATACGCTGCACCGCCCGCTCATACGCTGCACCGCCCGCTCATACGCTGCACCGCCCGCTCATACGCTGCACCGCCCGCTCATACGCTGCACCGCCCGCTCATACGCTGCACCGCCCGCTCATACGCTGCACCGCCCGCTCATACGCTGCACCGCCCGCTCATACGCTGCACCGCACGCTCATACGCTGCACCGCCCGCTCATACGCTGCACCGCCCGCTCATACGCTGCACCGCCCGCTCATACGCTGCACCGCCCGCTCATACGCTGCACCGAACGCTCATACGCTGCACCGCCCGCTCATACGCTGCACCGCCCGCTCATACGCTGCACCGCACGCTCATACGCTGCACCGCCCGCTCATACGCTGCACCGCCCGCTCATACGCTGCACCGCACGCTCATACGCTGCACCGCACGCTCATACGCTGCACCGCCCGCTCATACGCTGCACCGCCCGCTCATACGCTGCACCGCCCGCTCATACGCTGCACCGCACGCTCATACGCTGCACCGCCCGCTCATACGCTGCACCGCCCGCTCATACGCTGCACCGCACGCTCATACGCTGCACCGCCCGCTCATACGCTGCACCGCACGCTCATACGCTGCACCGCCCGCTCATACGCTGCACCGCCCGCTCATACGCTGCACCGCCCGCTCATACGCTGCACCGCACGCTCATACGCTGCACCGCCCGCTCATACGCTGCACCGCACGCTCATACGCTGCACCGCCCGCTCATACGCTGCACCGCACGCTCATACGCTGCACCGCCCGCTCATACGCTGCACCGCACGCTCATACGCTGCACCGCCCGCTCATACGCTGCACCGCCCGCTCATACGCTGCACCGCCCGCTCATACGCTGCACCGCCCGCTCATACGCTGCACCGCCCGCTCATACGCTGCACCGCCCGCTCATACGCTGCACCGCCCGCTCATACGCTGCACCGCACGCTCATACGCTGCACCGCCCGCTCATACGCTGCACCGCACGCTCATACGCTGCACCGCCCGCTCATACGCTGCACCGCCCGCTCATACGCTGCACCGCCCGCTCATACGCTGCACCGCCCGCTCATACGCTGCACCGCCCGCTCATACGCTGCACCGCCCGCTCATACG